CAAACCTGGATATTTTATGGGATTGCAAGCTCATGCTAACTCCATAGTATAATGTGATAGTCCAAAAGGTTCATGAAACCTTAGTCTGCATACTCAGTGCTCAGTTAATACTATCTTCATGTGCGATTACCTTCAAGTGTTGTAATGCAGACAAAGCTTCATTTTTTCATTCATTAAATTACATTAAATTAAATTGACCCTATTACCCATAGCTGGAGGAAGTTACCTGGCTGTGACTTCTATAAAAACATAAGGATTCTAATTGTTCATTATTTAACTAAAATGAAAACCCTTACTGTGTACACAGTATTGTGGTCAGCTCTAGGGAAGATACTAAGTCTAGCTAAGACATAGTATCTTTCCTCAAGGAGTTCACAGCCTGGAAATGGGATTAAGATGTCAACATAGATAGCTACAATATAGAACATTATATGATGAGTAAATCACAGGTTAACAAAACTAAAATACAGTCTTTCTTCATAGCTTTTCACAAATGATTCTTTAAATACAACTTTATATTGTTAATAAAAATATCTTTGTGTTTTGTTTTGTTTTTTTCAAAAATAGAGCTGAAGAATCAAGAATGTCACCATTCAAAAAACAAAAAATGTCCCCATCCCACAACCACCAAGTGTTGCAAGCAAAAATTTATTGTCCTCCTCCTTACCTTTAAAAAGGCCCTTTCATGGCAGAGAACAATCTCTGGCCTCTCTCAGGAAAGTTAGTCATTCGGAAGAATGAAATGGAGCCACGTAAATCCCATACTTTCTGGATCACTCACCTTTTACTATTAATTCTGCATAATTAGAGACTCCGGAGCCACCATCAGAGCGAATGACACATCGGTACTTGCTGATGCTCCTCTGAGACGTATCGGCCACACTAACTGTAGCTGAAAACCTTCGGTGGTTGACCACTCGCGTGACCATGAGGGCAGTATCTCTCCCATTCCATTGCTACCAGAGGAAAGAGAAATCAGCTTAAGAACTTAGATGGACCTTCCTAAATACGAATTGATTCCCTTCTCACTCCCCTACATCCAAAACTAATTGGTCATTTCTATACCTACTTTCTGGCCTGGTTGAAATAAGCACATTTACCCTCCTACTTCTTAGTACATTTTACTGAATGAATTTTGGCAAATGTCTTAGCATAAAGACAGCATGTACCCTAATGGTTAGGGATGAAGGTAAAGGCTCAGTAATCGCTATAGTTTCACTCTGAGGCTGGACTGATTTGCTTTGTGAGCTAAGGTCAATCTTTTAACCCTCCTATTAGTTTTCTTCATCTGCAAAACTGAGATAAGAGACTTTACCCCTGATACTGCAGGTCTGAACAAAGCATAAAGGTATGCTAGTAAAAGGCCATTCTTATCTGGGCTGCTCACTTTCTTGTAGCTGAAATTAACCTGCTTGAGCTTCAACAGCATTGGTATACAGGTAACACTTCATTATATAAAAAATAAGGGCTTTTTTTGTTTGTCTGTTTGTTTTTTTATTTGATTAACAAAGTGAAAAGAGTCCTAGATTTGGAGTCATGGGGCCTAGGTCTATATCCTGGCTCTGAACACTTGCTATATGACCTCAGCCAAATTATTTCCTTTCTCTTGGCCTCAGTTTTCTCATCTATAAATCCTCATCTATAAAATGAGGCCTAGATGACCTCTCAGGACCCTTCTAACTCTAAATCTATGATCCTGCCTTTATGTATACTATCTGCCAGGGTTATATAGGACCCCTCTAGGATTCCAAACTAATACATTGGAACTGGTAACTTTATTAAAGCATAGGGACAACATTTTATGCTTTTCTTCCCATGAAAAATAACATTTTCTTTAGCTTTTCTTTAACTTCTGTGTTACACTGAGGAAAGCAATTCTGGGCACCATATTTTAGGAAGGGCATTGACAAACTGGTAATCATCCTGAGAAGAGGACTAGAAATCATGTCATATGAGGATGGGTTGAAAGAATTAGGAATGGATGGTGAGAAGGCTTAAGCTATACATTGATGGTTGTCTTCAATAATGTGAAGGGCTGTCTCAGTGGAGAAGGATTAAAATTGTCCTGGTAGGCTCTAGAAGGCAGAACTATGAAGAACTAAGGTAAGTTAGAGGGAGACAGATTTTTGGTGCTTTATAGGAAGGAGTAAACAATCAGAACTATCTAACAATGAAATGGACTACCTTGAGAAGTAGTGAGGTTCACATCACTAAATGTGTTCAAGCAGTTTGGATGGCCACTTATCTTGAATGTTGTCAAGTTCATCTGGTTCAACTTACGCCATATGTTTCTAAGCCTAGATATTAATTAATCTGTTACTTGCAATGAGCCAATACTTCATTTAGAAGAAGGTACTCTCACTATTTATATCAATTTACATTCCTCTTTAGCAAACTCCATTTATATATCAACAATGATGTGCCTGGGAGCGGTCATTTGTTTTAGCATCAGCACAGAACACCAAATTTCCCACATGGAACAAATGGCTAATGAAATGACATTCCTCTTCATATTTTACTTTAAGTCCTGATCAGTGATATTTAGTTTTCAGTTTAACAAATACAGCCTTAAGAAGAGCCAGATAGGATTCAGTGAGTTTGCTTGAAATATTCTCATTTTCTATGACAGGCCTTCCATCCAACGGGCTTTTTCTGAATAGAAATTAAGCAGTAGCATCCCATATAGCTATTCCCTCTCTTTTAAAAATGAACAATTGAAGACTAGCTTATAGAAGCTCTAATTATCCAGGTTTTCTATAGTTAATCAATAAGCCTACTATGTGTTGGGAACTACGCATGCAAATATAAAAATGAGACAGTAACTACCTTTAGGGATGTTACATTTTAGTCATGTATATCACATTGAGACTTGGACAAAAATGAGCTAGAAAAGGCTCTATCAGGAGGAGGTCCAGGATAGGGATTTTGGCTGGATATAAGCCAAGATGAGAGTTGGGAGTGCCAAGGGCAGAGAGAGTAACAATGCTGGAATGGTGTATTTGAGGCATATGCAGGCAAATGTCTAGGGGTGGGGGAACCTGCAACTTCAAGGCCACATGTGGCCCTCTAGGTTCTCAAGTGCGGCCCTTTGACTGAATCCAAAACTCACAGAACAAATCACCTTAATAAAAGAATTTGTTTTGTAAAACCTGGTCTTAGCCAAAAGGCCGTACCCAAGGACCTAGAAGGCCACATGTGGTCTTGAGGCCTCAGGTTCCTCACCCCTGATCAAGATCTCAGATGTCAGATAAAGCCAAGAGGGAATAAGCAGTCCCCATAGGTCATGGAAGATAAAATCAAGGTCTAGATTCTGGGTGGCCAAGAAGAAATGATCAGGACCCCCAGAAAGCAGACTGAGAATAAAAGGTCAAGGTCCCAATCAGGGGATCTGAAAAAAATAGCATTAATAATTAAGGCCAAAAGGTTTGGGCACCACATGCTTAGGATGTAAGTAACTGGTATGAGGAATGGTGCTTGTTACAGTGTGAAAAGAGCATTGGATTTAATGTAGAAGACAGGTTTGACACACAGCTCATTCATTTACTACCTGTGCGAACTTGGACAAGTTATAACCCTCTTGTAAAAAGATGGTTTTGCACTAGATGACTTCTGAGCTCCCTTCCAGTTTAAAATGTATGATGCTATAATCTCCACATCCACGCCGATGTACTAAAGAGAACACTGGACTCAGTTGAGAAGATGTGGGTTCAATTCTTGATGCTACCACTCACTCTGATCAGATCACGGAGGGAAAGCTATGTGAAGGAAGAAGAAAGTTATTTACCTGGAGCCAGAGTTTGTCATGCTGGGACCACTTTCCTCCAGCAATACACTGGAATGTTGCATTTTGTCCCACATTCACTTCAACATTTTGGAGTCGCAGGAAATGAGGTGCTTTTCCTAGGATGGAAATGAAATATTAATTGGGTGGGTTCTTTAAGTAGTTCTGTCCCCCTTACACCCTGCTCTGGAGAAGAAGGCTCATGACCTAGGTAAATTCCAAGGGCAAAATAAAGTTCTCTTCCTTTAGAGAATAAAGATGATTATTCTGCATGAGGCAGTGAATCCAAATCAATGGGCCAGGTCTATATGGCACAAAATACTGGACTAAAAAAAATGACCATCTCACTGATGGGGGAAGTTTTTACAGCAAGATGATGGAGGTCATTGATGTTGCTATTTAAGAGGCCTCCTACCCCAAGTTGAAAAAGAACTAACCCAAGAATGGTAATGGTCCTATAATTTGGGTTTTGGTAGAGGTGAGGTAACCCCTCAAGGGGCAGTCCTGAATCCCCTCAGAATAAAAGCAGCCCTAAATCCTCTCATTTACCTTTGACATACACAGAGTGTCCTAAAGGTCTTAGTTCAGTTTCAAGTTTCAATAGCTTAAAATTTCAAGCTTTAATAGCCTGAAATTACACTAAAGCTAAATTACCCTAAGAGGGTAGGGGACAGGTCATACTGCAAATGCTACCATCTTGATGGATACATTAGTGCATCTGAAAATTCAGAGGCCCTAAAAGTCACACGGTGGTGATGAACTGGAAGATGCTTTTTTATGTACAAAAAAAATTTACTGAAATATTTTCCACATTTCCTAATCAGAATTGATTGCTGGAGTCCCAAAGAATTTCAGGCCAACAATGCAAATGTACCAATAAGTGACATAACCCAATTAGGGTCCTCTTTGTTCTCTGAGCTATCTCAGTTTTGAAGCATCTCATTCAAAGAAGCCACCCACCCCAAAAGCTGAAAGAGAAGGGAGATTGGAAAAAAGGAGCCAATGTCGACCCCTCTTAGATTAAAAAAAAAAAGGTGAAAGTCACCAAACAATGACAATGGTCTAAATAATTACATTTAACAATGACACTAGGAAGGTCTGTTCCATTTCTGAATCATCACTGGCATTAAGGTTTGGTTACACTGTAGAAAAGTATGTTGTCTCATATATCATTGTTTCATTTGTGTGTGTGTATGTGTGTGTGTGTGTGTGTGTTCCTTTGTTCCCTTCTCCCAAACCTTTCTTCAGTATTTATCATAATACCTTATACACTTTTTTTTTGGTCCAGCCTTGTGATTTCAACACTGTATGGAACTCTCAGTTCCTGTAATGCAGGCAGGTTACTGTTTTGTAACTTAGTGTATTAGAGTTGTCTAACACTGAAATATTAAAGGAACTTGTCCTGAGTCAGATGGACAGTACTGAAGGATTTAAATCCAGGTCTCTCTGAACTCTGAGAGCAGTTCTCTGTCTACTGTGCAGTACTGCCTCTTGCATCATCACACATAGTTCCTGCTCAATAAACGCAGAATTGAATTGTATAACATTGGGTGGGAATCAAAACCAGCCTATAGATTGGTCAATGGGTCCTTTAGATCATCTCTAACAATTAGACAACTGTTACAACAAAGAGAATCCCTCAGGACCCTAGCAGACTACCAGTGTAAGCCTCAGTACTTGTGTTCCCAATCTTTGTACCCTGTTACTTTCTAAGACACTGGGAACTCACCGGGCAGAAGTCCTATGAATGAAGCTGACCAATGCTTATTGCACATTTCAGGCAAAATACCCTGATGTGAATGACATTTCAAACCCACTCTACAAACATCAGTACAGCATTTGAAGACATATCATTCTGCCCTTTATCCTACTCTCTGGACTTGTCAGCACCCAGCAGGTAGTGAGATAAAATTGAGAGAAAGAGACCTGTTCAGCAGAAGTCCCAGCAGTTCATGGAACACTAGGAAATTCACCACAATAATGTGATAGAAAATAAAATAAGGAAGTCTAAAAGTCAGTGAAAAGATGGAAATGATGAAACCTTGAAGAAAACTTGTCTGACATTTACCCAGCAGCTATTACTGATGCAGCCCTGTTTTTAATAGTTAAAGCTGAGAAATGACAACCCTCAGAGGGCAACCAGAGTTACGATACATGCAGGGCGACATGGAAATGTTAAATGGGCTATAAAATATAAGTGAAAGGTTTGAGTTTATAAGAGAAAATCATTTCCTCTGCTGTGTTTTTAAGTATTACGTCTGTCTCTCGGTCACTTTTTAAAAATGTGAGGAGAAAGCATAATGCTATTAACCTCAGTGCCAATCAATACTGGACATGGGGCAATTGGGCCACTAAAGGTCATGTAACTTTGGGAATATTTAACAGGAGCACTTATTGATAAACTCTGGGCATATCTTAGTAGTGAAATAGCTCTAGAGGACAGAAATAGGAAATTAAAAGGCCTGGGGACGTGAGGAGAATAAAAAGTTCTCAATCTACTTAAATATTTAACATCCCATGAGGGAAGTTTCTAATCCGTGTATTAATATTAAGTGTGAGTGTGTGTGTGTGTGTGTATGTATGAAGAGGGGGTGGTGCATGTGTGTTTTTGGAGGGTTGGGGAGGATGGAGAAACCAATATTCACTCAGTACAAAGAAACATACGGGCATCATTCTGTTTCCCAAGCAATTTGGGATCCTAAGCACAGTCCACTGAGGCCTACTGTCAGTATCACTGAAATTGGCCCACACATTTAGGCTGCATTGTTCTTAGCAGAACAGGCCTTCCAACTTGCATGAGACTAGGACGCCTTCCCCTGTTTGTGATGTGCCCCCACTGGCAACAGCAGCTCTGCTTTTCTCACAACTACTCATGTTGTGTTAAAATTCAGTAGGTGTGATTTCTGCCCAGGGTCAAGTTTTCTTTAGCTCGTTGCTGTGTAAAAGAATTTTAGTTATAGAAGGGCAAGAAAGGAAAAAGGCAAACGGTGGGGGGGAGGGGTAAAGAAGAGGGGAGAAAGAAGGAAATTCCTTTTCCATTTCTCTCACAGGCACCACGGCTTTCAGAACTTTAAACTTTCTGCCAGAGAATCTTCAGAGGAAAAGGGGTTGCTGAATTATTGAAGCACTCCTTCTCATGGAGGAAGCACATTCCTACGGTTCTCCAAGCACTGGGATCCCTTTGAACTCACTGTAGAACTGACCATGGGAAGACAGAAAGCTGTCTCTGCTCACCACTAGTACCACAAATGCTTGGAGGCAGCAACATCAATGGTGTGGCCAGCTTGTTTTAAAGGTTCTTCTCTCCAACCTCCATCTAGGACATCTCATGAACATGTAAGAGGATATCAAGGCCTGTATTGGGCCCAAGCTCCTGTTTCTAGACCTCAGAAGAGGGTTTCAAATGTAGTATTCCAGGTGCCCCTATGGATATATTATCAAAGCTTTCATTTTTGGTTTCTATCATTCTGTTAAAAGGTATGAAAATTGCAGGCACCATAACAGCACCATTTTTCTGAATTTTATGTGTAAGCCCAAGTGGTGCATTAATGGGGTGGCTTTGCATTGTGCAGGCACACAGACAGGATCATGTTTTCCCTAGTTATAGCTCATAACCCATTTGCATGGTAATTGCTTCATGGTCATTCCATTCATGTGGAATCCAGTTCTTTACCAGTGGAGAGGAAGCTGAGATTATCCTTAAAGCCCACTGCACCCTTACTTTCCCAAAGTATTGATTCTACTCTGAGGCCAGAGTTGGGAGGCATGTACCTTTAGCCCTCAGGCCAGCATCTTACCACTGAGCTATCTTAGAGTAGAGAGGACATCTGTTACAGCTACTGAATCTAGAATATAGGTTCTTAGCCTTTTGTGTTATGGACCCCTTTGGCAGTCTGGGGAAACCTAAAAACTCCTCAGAATAAGAGTTTTAAAATTAAATATATAGGATTAAAGGAAATCAATATATTGAAATAAAAATGTGATTTTTTTCCCCCTTCCAAGTTCTCTCTTGAAATCTCTCTTCGAACCTCTTAGATCCCTGGTTAAGAAACCCAAATTAGAAAAACAAATTGATTAAATTCATTTCAATAAGCATTTGTTAATCACCTACTAAACATTTATTAAAGATATTTTATTAATCATCTACTAAATCATCTATTAAACATCAGGCACTGAGCATACAGAAAGAAAAAGAAGCAGTTCATGCCCTCAGGAAGTTTCCATTCTACTAGGAGAAAGCCATTACTAGTACTTGGCACTCAGGCTTCACCCTGCTGTTGCCCTGGCTATGACTAAGGCTAATTCCCACATAGAGAGGTTCAGGCTGACTGGTGGCAAGTTCCAGAAATACACAATGTGTTTCTGTTCATTGCTGCATAATGGCCTTGGGGGCGGGGGGGTGAGGGAGAAATATGAGCAGGTACTGGAAAACAGACATGGAATGTGGCAGACAACCTATAGCATGGCACAGGCGCCTTGCAGACATAGCCTATGTCACTATTCCTATGGCATCTCTTTTCACAGACACACAATATGTCCCCATCCTGTAGGGCACTGCTGAGATGCATTTCAAATGCCTATCAGGAAATAGACAACTGGGGCAGAATTGTATGAAACACAGACAGGGTGAGCAGAGAGTGCAGTTACCTTCTAACACCCTACAACAAGAGCCAAGGATGACAAATCTTTCAGAATGCCTCCATAAGAGCTGATGAGTGGATTTAAAATTATTTTCCAAGAATTAATAGCTCAAGGTCCTCTTTTCCTTGTGAGTGAACATCCAGTTCACTCTCTAAGTGTTTCTAGTGGGGTTTCTTTTTTTTTTCTTTCTAAAACAATTACATGTGATTCTATCCAGAGCCCTTTAATTCTTCTCCTTCAGTGCTCTGAATCACACTAATAAACAATCAGAGTTTTCTATTCCCTTAATAATGGAGTCAGATTTGAGCGGAGATGTTTTGGCACTATCTGCAGATTCACATAGGGGTTGTCTGTTGCACAGCCTGGCAAAATGAGGGATTTATTTTGGGCTGATTGCCGTGGGTACAGAAGTGTTTTCAAAGAATAAAGAAGAAGAAAAAACTTTAAATGTTTGTGAACCAGGTGAATGGGAGACCAGCTGAACTGAACTGTGAAGCCTAACCCAGGGCAGGACTCTGTTATCAGGAAAATGAAAAACTACAGGGTCATAGATACTAAGCTGGGAGAGACTTGAGAGGTTATCTAATCCAAGTCACTCAGTTTTGCAGCTGAGGAAACTGGGGCCCAGAGAAGTTCAGTGACTTGCCCAAGATCAGAAAGGCAGGAAATGTCAGAGCTGGGATTCAAAGCCAGGGCCTCCAGACCCAGCATCCTAGCCACTGGATGGCGGTACTTACGGCATGGGTGAGCAAGGACCCGAACTTCATCCACTGCTATGTAACCAGGATGCCCCTTCAAAGACACCGACTCAAATATAACCTGAAACACACAGAGGAAATCATGTTCTCACAAACAACAGTTGGCAGTCATCTATGGCTACTCCTTCCCCAATGCCTCGACCACTTTTTTTTTAATTCAAGATCTGTGATTTCTCATCTATCTGAAGATCTCTCAGTGTAGGAAACTTATCCACCAATGCAGACTGACAACTCACCTCTAATTTAGCATCTCAGCTGCCTGGAGGGAGTAAGTGACTTTCCCAAGTTCACACAGCTAGTATGGAGTTGAACCTATTCCCAACAGACCCTCTAGTAATAGTTTCTTACTGCCTCTCTTCTGTTCAATTAAGTTTTTTACTATTCAGATTATTTATCACAACCAAGCAGAAAGTTCAGGCTATGAGCAGATATAGGGACTTTTTCACAAACCCCAGATTTTGTCTTTTATTTTCCCAGGCAGAAAAAGTAAACTCTGCTGACCAGAATGAACACTGAAAAAGTACCATCCACCTTAACAGTGACTGCAGAGATATTTTGTCTGACTGAAAAAGCCATATCAAACCATGAGCCTTGAGCCTTTGTGGTAGTTCATGTGAAGTTGACAGAAAAGTTATTTCCTAACATCCAACTTGCCTATATATCTAGAAGGAAAAGCTTCCTTTGAAAATGAGCATGCAGGATGGATCAGACCTCGAGTGGCTATTCAGGAGAATGTAGCCTCCTTAAAAGTCAGAGATTTTTCATTGTATGTTTTCGAATCTTCAGTACCTGAAGAGTGCCTTGCACATAGCAATGATTTAATAAATGTTGGTTTTGGTTTTTTTTAATGGAATGGAAGCTGTCCTTGCCATAGGGTCCTAACGTTAGAGGCAGAAAGGACCTTTAAGGTCATCTAGTCCAGGCCCCTCATTTTATAGAGGAAGATACTAAGACCCACAAACATTAAATAACTTGCTTAAGACTGCAGAGGCAAAGCTGGGAGACAAACCCAGTACTCAAATTGCTTCTACCCCCCATGCCAAAGGTCAATGATAGTGCACTTGAAGTAGTAATACCTCCAGGGCTCCCAAATCCTACTTGAATGAGTTGTATCTTCCCTGAGGTAAAGACCACATAGAACCTAGAATGGGCTACCAGCATAGAATCATAGACCCAGAACGCTTAAGAACTAAAAGAGATCTAAAACACCATTTAGTCCAATCCCTTCAACTTCAAGAGACAACTGAGACCCAGAGAGAGGGAAAGTGACTTGACCATGATTATAAGGGTAGACAGAGACAGAAAAAAAGAAGTAAAGTCTTCTAGTTCCCATTCCAAGGTGTTTTGTTATGACTTGACTTGGCTTTTGAATCATACCATCCTGCCTCCCTTAAATGCTATAGAGAAGCAAGGACCAAGTGCTTATGGTCCTGAGCAGTATCTAACTTAGCAGGACATCAATTAAATGATTTGTCTCAGGACTTCTCATCATTATGTCAAAAGAGACCAATCTGAAACCAACATGTCATAAATTATACCCTTGGCAAGAGGATATGCCTTCAGCCATGAAGAAACTGCTACCCACATCTCCATTCTCTAAACAGAGCTTTTTGTTTCCTTCTTACATTATTAGGTTTTCCATTCTTGGAAGAATCTCATGTCATAGGTGTGTTATCGAATCACACATCTGCCTGTGGAAAATGATTCTTTATTTCTTGCTTATCAATGATTCAAAGGGAATTATGAAGTGCATGTAGTGTGCCAGGCACTGCATACTGGAAGCAGAGAAAAAGGCAAAAACAGCTGCTGCTCCAAAGGAGTTCACATTTTAATAGAGGAGACAACATGTAAATAATTAAGTACATGGAAAATATCTACAGAGCAGATGAGATGGAATATCAAGTGGGAGGCACTAACAGCTGGAGAAAGGGAGCTAGGAAAGGTCTCCTGCAGAAGCAGGGGTCTAAGGTGAGCCTTGATGAAAGCCAGGGAAGCTAAGAGGTAGAGGCAAAGAGAGAGAGCACTGAAGATGTAAGGGACGGAAAGCACAAAGGTACAGAGACAGGAGAGGTGTCCTATGAGAGAACCTATAAATAGTTTATGCTGCCTCTATTTTAGATTACATGGAGGGAAGTAAAATGTAAGAAAACTGGAAAAATAGGAAGCAATCAAGTTGTAAAAGGCTTTAAATGACAAAAGGGAAACTTTAAATTTGATCATTGAAGGCAGTTAGGTAGCACAGTAGATAGAGCCCTGGGCTTGGAATCAGGAAGACTTATCTTACTAAATTCAAATTTGGTCTCATTTACTTACTAGCTTTGTGACCCTGGCCAAGTCACTTAGCCATGTTTGCTTCAGTTTCCTTATCTATAAAATGAGCTGGTAGGGTATATAGGTGGTGCAGTGGATACAGCACCAGCCCTGGAATCAGGAGGATCTAAGTTTAAATCTGACCTCAGAAACGTGCTAGCTGTGTGACCCTGGGTAAGTCACTTGACACTGATTGTGTCCAAAAAAAAAATAAAGTAAAATAAGTTGGAGAAGGAAATGGTGAACCATACCAGTATCCTTGCCAAGAAAATCTCAAATGGGGTCATAAAGAGTCAGATACAGGGATGTAGCCAAGATGGTGAAGAAAAGGCAGCAACTCACCTGAGCTGTTCCTAAAACCCCTCTGAACACCTTTAAATAATGCCATAAGACAGTTCCTGGAGCAGGAGAACTCACAAAAGGATGGGGTGAAAAAAACTTCCAGTCATAAACAAACAATAAAACAAAACCAAAAGAATGAAAAAAAACTGAAGACAATGTGAAATATCTCATTGGAAAAACAACTGACATGGAAAATAGATCCGGGAGAGATAATTTAAGAATTATTGGACTACCTGAAAGCCATGGTCAAATAAAGGGGACCTAGACATCATCTTTCAAGAAAATACTATGGAAAACTGTCCTGTTATTCTAGATGAGAGGGGAAAATAGAAAATGAAAGAATCCATTGATCACCTCCTGAAAGACATCCCAGTTCAACCCTTTGATGTCTGTGGGCTGAAATAATTCCAGGAATATTTTAACCAAATTCCAGAGTTCCCAGGTCAGGGAAAAAATATTGCAAGCAGATAGAAAAAAACAATTCAAGCATCATGGAGTCACAGTCAGGATAACACAAGGTTTAGCACCTTCTACCTTAAAGGACTGGAGAGCTTAGAATATGATATTCTGGAGGGCAAAGAAGCTAGGATTATAACCAAGAATCACCTACCCAGCAAAACTGAGTATAATCCTTCAAGGGGAAAAATGGGCATTCAATGAGAGAACTTTCAAGCATTCTTGATGAAAAGAACAAAGCTCAAGAGAAAATCTGACTTTCAAACACAAAACTCAAGAGAAGTATAAAAAGGTAAACAGGAAAGGGAAATTATAAGGGATTTAATAAGGTTAAATGGTTTATATTCCTACATGGAAAGATGATAACCTGTAACTCATGAAAATATTTTCATTATTAGGGCAGTTAGATGGAATATGTATAGACAAGATGGCACAGGGGTGATGTTGAATTGAAGGGATGATATTTAAAAAATAAAATTAAGGGGTGAGAGAGGAATGTACTGGAAGAAAGGGAAAGGGAGAGGTAGAATGGGGTAAGTTATCTCAAATGAAAGAGGCAAGAAAAATCTTTTACAGTGGAGCAGGAAAGGAGGGAGGTGAGGGAGAGTGAGTGAACCTTACTCTCATCAGAATTGGCTCAAAGAGGGAATAACATACATACTCAATTGGGTATAAAAAGGTATCTACAAGAAAGTAGGAGGGAAAAGGGATAAGAGAGGGGGTGATAGAAGGGAGGGCAGATTGGGGGTAGGGAGCAGTCAGAAGCAAAATGCTTTTGAGGAAGGACAGGGTAAAACAAGAGAGAGAGAATATAATAAGCAGGGTAGAAAGAAATAGGATGGAGGGAAATACAGTTAGCAATAATAACTGTGAAAAAAATGTTGAAGCAAGTTTCTCTAATAAAGGTCTCATTTCTCATTTCTGTTTATGAAAATAAGAACAATTTCCCAAATGATAAATGATCAAAAGATATGAACAGTTTTCGGATGAAGTAATCAAAGCTATCTATAGCATATGAAAAAATGCTCTAACTCACTATTGCTTGGAGAAATGCAAATTAAAATAATTCTGAAGTACTACCTCATACCTATTAGATTGACTATAGGACAGAAAAGGAATATGACAAATAGTAGAAGAGATGCAGGTAAAATGAGACATTAATGCACTGTTGGTGGAGTTGTGAACTGATTCAACCATTCTATGGAACAATTTAGAACTATATCCAAAGGGCTATAAAACTATGCATATCCTTTGACCTAGCAATACCACTATTAGGGTCTGTATCCCAAAAGAGATTAAGAAAAGACAAAAAGGAAAACGACCTATATATACAAAATATTTATAGCAGCTCTTTTCTAGTGGCAAAGAATTGGAACTGGAGAATGGCTTACAAAATTGTGGTATGTGATTATGATTGAACATTATTGTGCCGTAAGAAATGATGAGAAGGATGCTCTGAGAAAAACCTGGAAAGACTTACATGAGCTGATGCAAAGTGAAATGGATTGTGTACAAAGTAACAGCAATATTGTAAGATGATCAGTTGTGAATGACTTAGCTATTCTTAGCAACATAACAATCCAAGACGACTCTGAAGAACTCATGATGAAAAATGATGGTGTCTGAATATAGATTGAAGCATACTTTTTAATCTTATTTTTCTTCATTTTTTGGTCTATATTTTCTTTCACAACATGACTAATACAGAAATGTTTTGCATGACTACACATGCATAATGTATATTGAATTGCATGCCTTCTCAATAGGGGGTAGGGTGGGATGGAGGAAGGGAGAGAATTTGGAATTCAAAGTTTTAAAAACAAAAGTTAAAATTGTTTTTACATGTAACTGGGCAAAAATAATATACTAAGTAAGTTTAAAAAAGAGTAGCCTCAAAGTGAAAGGACTTGCCCAGGAAGGGTCAGATATGGGACCTGATTCCAGATTCTCCAG